CCAGTCTGGGCGACCGAGTGAGACTCCAACTCAAAAAAAAAAAAAAAAAGCCAAACATTTTTTTCCTTCCTCAACTAAGACACGTCCAAAACAGTGTACATCTCTGGGCAAACTTTGTTCTTTTCGCAACAGATCAAGAACGACTAGAAACATGGCCAGCCTGACAACTACAGGGCCAGCCTGTCAGTTTCCCAGGAACCAATAGCCTTGAGGGCAGCTATGGAAGTCAAGGCCACAGCAATCTCTTCATGCGCTTCTCCCTTGAAAAACAAAATTAACTCACAGTTTGCCTCTAAATTTACAGAGGAAACTGATCTCAAGAGCAACTTATTGTCACCTTACTATATGGCAACGTCCCCTTTTACCAGCCCCTCAGAAAGCCCTGAAGAAGTGGTTCAGCTGAAGTTGTTCCCGTAGAAGCAGTTTCCAAAAACAGGACAAATAATTGAAGAGAACGGCTTAGGCAACCTACATTGGAATTTTCCAGTAGGAATGGGAGAAAATATTTGCAAACTATGCCCTTATTAGGATTATAGGAGCTTAATTCCTCTTTCTACTCCCTGCAACGAGAGGATACAACTTCTGGGCAGTCTGCAACCTGTAAGAGGACCTTCAGCAGAACCCAACCATGCTGGCACCTGAATACTGAATGAATGTAGCTTGCAAAAATTACAAAGGGGAACAGAAAAAACTTTTTCATTTACATTCAGTACAAGGGGAGAAGAAAATGGATTACATGTCTTTAAAAAAAAAAAAAAACAATGACCTTGGGAACTTCTGGAATCCTGGCAACATGAACTGAAAGTACAGGTCTAAAGCCTTCACAATAACATACCACCTTCAAGTAGGGTTCCGGGTTTTAGAGACAGAAGACCAGGTCCTCCTGTGTTTCTGAATTCGTTGCAGTATAAAATTTATTTACTTACGTCAACCTGTTAACTAAGCAGATAAAGTAGCATGTTTATTTTTTCAAAGTCCTGTCCTAGAGACACTGGGCTTGACTCACTGTTTCCTGCTGAATCTACCCTGCTCGTGTCAGAAACTTGGGAGTCATCTTTGACCTCCTTTTCCCTTTAAATTAAATCTATCCCCAAAACATCTCTCAAATCTCTTCATTTTTCTCCATCTCCTCCACCAGCTAGATGCTCTTTAAATCTGATTATATCTCTTCCTTTAAGCTTAAATTTCTATTTTCAAGTGTTAGTGAATGGAAACACACAATTTAAGAATTTTAACCTTTAGTGTCTGTAATACTTCTAATGCTTTTTTTTTTTTTTACAGCTTTCTAGTTTTAAGCCATTCCTAATATGTGTCCTGTAAAACTTTATTTTTTATATCCATTATTGGCTTTCACAGATCCACATCTTTATCTGAGTATTGAGGAAGCAAACCAAGAGTTTATGGTGAAAAGTGAAGAACTCTACGACTCCCTCATGAATTGTCACTGGCAGCCTCTGGATACACTTTACTCTAAAATCCCAGATGAGAGCCCAAAGTAAAGCAAGGTGTTCATTAAGCTCCTCAATTATCATATTGATTGTATCCTCTTTTCTTTGGGGGTAAAAAGTAATTATTCGAGAAATGTACTGAATTCTATATGTAAATACCAACTTCTAGGCCTTAATTGTGATTGACATAAGAGAACACACGTAAATAAACTTGACCAGCACATCCCTTCCTGGAAGTGTGTTATATTAAGTAAGTGCCAGAAAAGGTCAGGTGGCTATTGTGGTAGAACCAACTGCACTGTGAGATGCTAGAAAAAATGGGTTTCATATGAAGTGGATTCAAGCTGAACTGTTTGCGGCATTAGCTACTCTGATGTGATTTGCTGCTTTCCTCTGACTGCAAACTCTCCTGGAGAGAAATTGTATGTAAAGACAATGTAAGTTTTCTTGTTTGCAGCTTGTCTGGAAAACATAGGTTAGAACAAGAAGTTTGGTCTCCATTCCCTGACCCTGTGAGAGCGCTAGATATGACAGTGGAGACTCAATTGAACAGGAAGATTCCTAAGCTGGGAAGAGTTTGCTGGATCTAAATAGCCTGTCCACTTTCAAGGTAGAGGAATTGGGCCCTTATAAAAGGCACTTCTGAAACTTCAGGGTGTATATTGACTGTGCTCCATTTTTTTTTTTGTTGTTTTTTTTGTTTGTTTGTTTGTTTGTTTTGAGTTGGAGTCTCACTCTGTCGCCCAGACTGGAGTGCAGTGGCCGCTTCCGCCCACGGCAGCCTCATCTCTTGGGCTCCGGTGATCCTCCCGCCTCAGCCTTCCAAGTAGCTGGAATTACAGGCATGTGCGACCACGCCCGGCTGATTTTTTTGATTTATTGTAGATGAGGTCTCACTGCCCAGGTGGGTCTCAAACCCATGGGCTCAGGCAATCCACTCACCTCAGCTTCCCAAGGGCGCGGGATTACAGGCTGAGCCACCGAGCCCGGCTGAGAAATGCTTTTCAAACTTTAAATGCACACAAATGACTTTAATAACCCGTTAAAAACACAGGTCTGATTCAGGAGGTCTGGCCTTGTGCATGTGACTCTACATTTCTGAAAAGCTCCCAAGTGACACTGATACTGGGAATCAACCTTTAGGCGACACTGCTATAAACAGTAGGAGGAGGTGACTCCGAGCAAACGGCAGTAAATGTATTTGTTTTTTTTGTTGTTTGTTTGCTTTTTGAGTTGAGTCTCACTCCGTCGCCCAGACTGGAGTGCAGTGGCCGCTCCCGGCCACCGCAGCCTCGACCCGCTGGGCTCCGGCGATCCTT